ATTTGGTCTGGGGGGATGGGGGGGGGGGGGGGGGTAATAAAATTTTTTAAGAAATATTATTGTTAATTAAAAATACTAAGCATAAATTTATTAGGATTAATAACTTTTCTAATAACTTTTCTAATACACAATTTTAAACTAATGTGAATTAAAAAAATTATATATATAAACCGGCATTGAAAAACTATAAAATAAATGTGAATTATAAAATATAAAGTGAATATAACCCACGATATGAATCACTTAAATGACCCAAAATTGAAATTTGAATTTTTTGAGCTTTTAAAATATATAAAGTATAAAAAATTTAAATGTTGGAAATATAAATTAATACACAAAAAGTTTCTTAGGAATAATTGTATTTTGTATGTTTTGAGCTAATTTTTCAATTATCTATCCTTGCTTGGCGTTAAATGCCTTTGAATATTCAAAAGATCCAAATCATTCAATCTACTTTCAGATGTTGTATTTCATAGGTATGTTTTTCACAGACTTGCAGACCCGGCCCCCGAGCCGGACCGTATTTTAATTTTTTTAAATATACCCGGGCCGGGCCCGTAATTTTTTTTAAAAAAACACCCGGGCTGGGCCTGAAAATTTTTTTAGAAAAAATATCCGGGCCGAGCTGTATATTTTAAAACCAAATATTTGAAATCGCCATTATTAGCTATAAAAATCAAAAATAAATATAATTTATTTAATAAAAATTCGGGCCGGGCCTGAAAATTTTTTTTAAAAAAAACCCGGGCCGGAAAAAATTTTAAAAAAAAATCTGGGCCGTGTCCTGCAAATGGTACCTCTGCAAGGCTCTGTTATTCTTCTTAAAAAAGAGAATGTTCTCTCATTAGTTTACTAAAGAGCTGCTAATATATATATAACCATTTTAATACACTGGAGTATAATCTAAAATGTGTTTGAAATAATGCAAAGCATCCATAGCATTTTTTGGGACTGTATCAACCATAGTTAATCTTTTAATCATAATTCAGCTAATAAGGCATCATAAAATATTTTAACATCTTCATGATAAAAATCTAACAAATATTTATATTTTTTTTCTATCACCATATGAAAAAGGTTGGGAGAGGGGACATTTGTTTTATAATACTCTTCTACTGATCCTATACTAATGTTTTGACGATTAGCTTGCTTGCTGCAAGTCGAGGGGGCCAAATATTAAACATGTATAGCTCTGCTTTTGACTCAACAATAAAATATGAAATTCTTCATCAACATTAGCCCTAATTTCCTTGAGTTCTGATAAAATTCTCTCATCTATTCTCATCTTCTTAATCAAGTCAATGTTATGTTTTTGAAAAGTATTACATAAAATAGTTGTATAATTAAATAATACATTCTAATGAGAAAAAAAATTTGGAATAAGTATTGAATCCAATAATTTTCTTGCTTCTGAGGAAATATTTCTTTCAAGCCATTATGATATTTCAGCAATAGCATTAATAATTGGCTCTTCTAACTCCATAATAGCTGTTACTGCTTGATGGTGGAGACTCGATCTCGTTGGACAAGCTTGCAATTTCTTTCTCCCTGTTGTACAAGGAGTTTCAGAGATAATTATTATTGACTAGAAATTTAGATAAATATTACGCCACTAAAATTTGAAAATAATAGGTAAATTACGCCAAGGAAAACTTGAAATCGAAATTAATTGATAAAATAACTTAGTAGATGAATGTGATAAATAAATGTAATTAAATATATATATATGAGATAGGAATAAATATTAACAAATATAAATTAATATTAACAATAATATTTTTGAAAAATATAATCCGGCATCTGCATTTTTTGGCTTTGGGGGGAATTTGTCCCCCTGCCCCCCCCCGCTGCGTACGCCAATGCTATCATGTATTGGCGATATCACTGACTCCAGTAGACTGTGGGAAATACTCCTTACTCACTTGCAGCTAACCCACCTATTGTAGAAAACACTCGTGTATATGGTAGTTTTGGATATTAATCAGTCCCAGCCCAGCCCTGGCAATATATCATATTGCCTACGAGTATATAGCTGGCACACCTAATGCCCCTTACTCCACCATGATGAAATTAGAAGTGGTGACTTGGCATGCATGGGTTAATATATATTTAACTAGTAATAATGAGTTGTTGGTCATCATAATTTAAATGTAAATATATATGTAGAAGTAAATATGTTATATTGAATTAATCAAAAAGTATATTGAATGTGTTCTGCATCTATAAAACAAACTTAATAATATAACTAAATACATTAAGAAATCAATAAAATAATGATAATTAGGGATGTACTGATAGTTTATCTTTTTCAAAAATATCAGTTATCAGCAGACATTATAAAATTCTCTGATCCAATCCAATAAAATGGCGTCTTAGTTTAAAATTTAATAATATATTTGTTTTTAATAGATTAATGCTATTATATATATAAGTGATTTATCAGAATATTTTTACTTTTAAATTCATGAATATAAATTGTAACTGATTATTTAAATGTCTTTTGTTATGGTATACTTAAATTATAGATGTTCTTTTACTATTAAAAATATATGAAATGAGTAGATAGATGTATGCATTAAAAATTAATGCGATTAGCATGTTTACAGAACAAAATCGGATATGATATTGGATCAGTAATATCAATTTAATATCAGTAATTTCGGATTGGCCTTTAAAAAGTTGTATCGGTACACCCCTATTAATAATATTATATCACTACATTTTCAAAGGAAAATTCAAAATGCAAAATATGAATATTAAACGTATATGATTTTCCAACTCATTGATTGATTTCATTTAAATTTTTAAAATCAGCCCAGCTCAAATTTTTAATTTATTAAAATTTTTAACCCTTTCGTGCCTGGAATATTTTTATGAACAAAAAATATTTGTATTTTGATATAATAAAATAATGATTTTGACATTTTGATATAATAAAATAATGATTTTGAGAGGTTAATGATAAAATACGAAATAATAAATATTGTTTTATAAATTAATATCTCTAAGTACCAATCCATTAGTTTCTTAAATATAAAAATTAATTGATTAAAAATTTTGATGACAAATGATCTCGCTGGGCGCGAAAGGGTTAAGCCAGTCCAAATTTTAAATCTTAAGCCCAGTTTAGCCCAAATATTTAAAATCATATTATTTTTGGCCTTTTCTGAACTGGGGTTAAGGGGTATTTCAGGTTTTACAGGTCTATAGTAGATATGACCCTGGCTAAAAATAAATGTGTAAATATAAGGGATATGAACCTAAAGCCTTCGAACTCTGATGTACCATGAACCTTTTTTAAATTTAGGGTTCAGGGTTCAAGAATTTTTTTTAATATTTATTTATGTATTTTTTTTTATTTTTACAAAATTATAAAAAATTCAAAGAGTATTTAAAAATATATATTAAAAAAATAACCTAAAATATTTATCTAATAAAACAAAAAATTGTTTTTTCTAATTTTCAATATTAAAAACATTTTTTGTGATTTTTATTTAAGAGTATCCAATTTGTGTGAAAAAATTCTACACCATGAACCCTGAACCTGGTTCAGAGACTTTTCACTGAACCCAATCACAAACCCATGGTCCTGGTAAATATATATTTTAAAGTGTTAAAATTATGAAATCTAATTTCAAGGTCAGTAAAAATTGTGCAGAATATTTTTTATGGGTTCGACTAAATTAGGCTGGTTATGCAAATTTATCACTTTTTCCTTCATAAAAATATTATTAATGGCTGAGCTAGGCAGCTTGTAAAAAATATATTGGGTTATACTAAATTAATTAAGGCTGGTTATACAAATTTATGTCATTTTCCTTTATAAAATATTATTAAAGGCTGAGCTAGGCAGCTTGTAAAAAATATATTTTATGAATAGGGGTAAAAATAATTAAGGCCATGCCAAATAACTAGATAAAATATTTCTATGGGCCAGTTCAGGCCATGGTAGCCAATGGAACAACCTCTAATATTTATATCTTATTTTGATATGGCACCTCTTTGCATATATTTAAAACAATGTACATAATATCTTATTAAGACCTTGAATTCCAAATATAAAAGGTGGTCTTGACATTAAATTTTAAGAGGTTCTATTTCTAAGATTTGATATTGTTCAGGATTCATTTTTGGTTCAAGTTTCTGAATCTGATTTCCCAGTTCAAATTCTGATTTATTTTTACCATAAAAAACATGCTCCATCCTCTTATAAAATAAAGTAACAGTAAAATTTAACCTAAATCTAATTAGACTGATTACAAAGTAATATAAAACAAAGTTATAAGAAACATGAAGAATACTTACTCAAAATAAAATGGTATTATACAATAAAGTGAGAAAAAAATGAAATAAACAATGGTTATAAAAAAGAATTTAAGTTGATCTAATTATGTCAGCTAATGACCTGGATATGATAATAAGATATAACCTAATAGTATATATTTATATTTGAATTAATTCAATATATTGCAATAACTACATAATAATTAGAATATTCTGCAAAATATATGTAATATATAAATTAGAAATTCCCATTCTAATATATTCTAATTTACTACACATGTTGTAAAACAGATTAAACTATAATAAGTTGGACATATATCTATTATTATACAATTCATAATTAGTTAAATGTAAAAAGGAAACATAATATTATGATAAAATAATTGGAATCAAGACTATTTAAATTCAGGAGAAATCCAAAAATATATTGTTAATAATTTATCATCTTTCTACAAATACCATAACATATTAAAATAACTTAAGCTTATGATATTGCTAATATTCTTAGGGAATTTCTATAAATGCAACTGATATAGAATAAGACATTCAATACATAACTTTAAGTAAAAATTCAAGCTTATTTAAATGACACAATAAATAGAAATATTATATAACGGTAGAGTTTAATTCATATGGATAGCGTGTATATTAAATTTTAATAATATTTCCATATATTTTTTATCTTAAAAATATTGGCTTTTATGTCTGATACTAACCTATTGGAGAGAATTTTTGCATTATAGAAAATGGCAGAATTTTGACATAAACAATATGATTTTTACAGACGATACTAAAACCCTAAATAGATATAATCCATTTAAATAATAATAATTTATAAAATATACAAAAGGATAAAAAATGATAATTTCTAAAATAATATACACATAATTTATTCAATAATAGTAAAGATAAAAGATGCATCTCTTTAAATGTTGTAAACCATAAATTATTATATAAGACTTCTATCTACTCTCATATATCGAATATATGAAGTCTATTTATCATATTTCATAGTAATAATAGCCCAAAGACTTCATATTTAGATTAAAATATTGACGCATGAATTTAAGGATAAATTTTAAAATTAGGACTAGGTGGGTCTGAGGGAGCGTATATCAGAATTATTTAATATGAAGTTTTTAAAATATAACATTTTTAAAAATAATATAAAGTTTTGTCTGCATTAGTTTCAAAAATTAGTTGTAACCTTATAAAATTTTTGTAAATAGTGTTATTGTAATAAATGCAATTATTATATAATAATAAAAAATAGAGCCTTTTGAAAAACGATGATTGTTAATAATTCTTAAATCTTATACAGATTTCGACCCTAATTCCTATATTTATGGATGTGTAAATATTGAGCATAATAAAAAATATGAGATGAATGAGATTTATTTTGTAATTACAAATTTGGATTGAGTGAAGAAACTTTTATTCATGATTGTGAGATATATATTTGGTGGATGTTATATTTCTTTAACCAGATTATGATGATCTTCCTCTGGCAAATGCATCAGGAATATAAAAATTTTCAAATTTTTATAAGTTAATTTGTTAAAGTATATAATTAATGGATTAAATTATTATAGTTAAAATAACATATTGTGCTAAGAAAAATTTATATTAAATTTTCTTTTGTGCAATTTTTGCTTCCTCACCTATTTCCCATTTTCAGAGTATTTTTCATATTTTTTTAAAATAAACTCCATAAAATGATTTATCATTTTTAAGCTAGTATTAATCTGATTGCAAATTCATTACGAGTATAAAAGAGTATACTTTTCAAATTGACTTAGTCTTAAGAATATAATAAAATAGAAAATAAATAAATAAACAGTTCATTATATAGTCTAAATTGCTAGTTTTTTGGTTAGGGTCCACTAGATCGTATGAACATTTGTGAAAAAACGTCAAATGACCTAAAATGGCCACAAATATATTTGAAGCGATTATAAAAGTGTATAATTTTGAAACGTTGTAACAGATTTGGCAAATAAATTAAAAAATGCTTTTTATTTTAAATTAAATTTAAATGGCTAAATGGTAATTAATATTTATATTAATACAAGAACAGTATATATTAAAAAATAAATAGCAGATAATTTACAATATTTTAGCAAACTCTTAATGCTCTAGATCCATTAATATATAATAGACAGCACAATTGTATTATAAATATATCTTTGATATAACATCATTAAAATTTATATGAAATATCTCATAATAAAATTTTTAATTAATATATAAAAATGCAATCTCTTTTTTTTGCATGATAATGTATAAATTGAATTAAATTTTTCTTAGAATAGATAATATTATTGCTAACCATTTGATTATTAGAATTTGTATAATAGCTTTGTTTAAAAATGATATAAATAGCAGATAATTTACAATATTTTAGCAAACTCTTTATTATAAATATATCTTTGATATAACATTATTAAAATTTATATTAAATATCTCATAATAAAATTTTTAGTTAATATATAAAAATGTAATCTCTTTTTTTTGCATGATAATGTATAAATTGAATTAAATTTTTGTTAGAATAGATAATATTATTGTTGTATTTTGATTTGATCAAACTATATTGAACCATTTGATTATTAGAATTTGAATAATAGCTTTGTTTAAAAATGATATAAATAGCAGATAATTTACAATATTTAGCAAACTCTTTATTATAAATATATCTTTGATATAACATTAAAATTTATATGAAATATCTCATAATAAAAATTTTAATTAATATATAAAAATGCAATCTCTTTTTTTTTGCATGATAATGTATAAATTGAATTAAATTTTTCTTAGAATAGATAATATTATTGTTGTATTTTGATTTGATCAAACTATATTGAACCATTTGATTATTAGAATTTGAATAATAGCTTTGTTTAAAAATGATATAAATAGCAGATAATTTACAATATTTTAGCAAACTCTTTATTATAAATATATCTTTGATATAACATTATTAAAATTTATATGAAATATCTCATAATAAAAATTTTAATTAATATATAAAAATGCAATCTCTTTTTTTTGCATGATAATGTATAAATTGAATTAAATTTTTCTTAGAATAGATAATATTATTGTTGTATTTTGATTTGATCAAACTATATTGAACCATTTGATTATTAGAATTTGAATAATAGCTTTGTTTATATGCACTCTTTGTTTTGCCTAGTTTTCTAAAAAAATTAATTATTATATGCAAATTAAATAATATATACTTTACAATTTTCTTATTGATAATTGTTGCGATTTAGCATTAATCTCTTGGATTTTCATAATTATTTTGGGAACAAACTACTTTGGGAACGAACTATTTTTTTTTGGGAACGAACTATTGCAATTACGACAAAAAACCTATTTCCTAAATTTTCATACGAATTAGAGGGACGATACCAGTTTTTTACTTTGTTATCTGTTTAATATTATTTAATAAAAATAATTTAAATAAAAGAGATAAAATAATTAAACATAGATGGCGTTACTAATTTTTATAAATAAATGGCCTAAATATAATTGCGCAAATTATATTTTATTAAATAAATTCAATAAATTTGAAATCATCATTATTTCTTAAGAATAATAACTTCACATAATTAAAAATTAATTAAATTTTGAATTTTCTAATATTAAAAAATTATCGATAATGAAACTTTTGCTTGAATAAACTTCATATCATATAACAAATTATAATCATTTTCTTATTTATACAATAATTGTAGAAACATAACATTTATTATTTCACGCTAATTATGTTCTTGAAGTAGTACTTAATTTTTATTTTCCCCTTTTGTTTAAGAGTTAACGTTTAAAAATTTTCTTTTTTTCTTTTATACACATTTAATTGGCACCTTGCTCAATTACCTGCTAAACTTGGTGATATCGACCTGATCCCCTTAGAATTACTCTCCCTATCTCTTTTTATCTCTAATCGCCTTTCGCTCAATTCCGCGATCTCATCTTTCGTAACCCCCAATGACGATCTCTTAACAGTAGCAATCGAAAGATGGAATCTACTTACCCCAGACGGTCAAACATTCCCAACCGAAATTTCTAATAAATCAATCTTGGAACCCCTTATAAAGAAACTATAAAATTGTCTTACCCTTCCGATATCAGCGATTTACAACTTCTTCAACTAAACGATAAATACGGCGGGCTTGAATGGCTCGAGGCACTTCCAAGCCTAACCCTTGATAATCTCTTAACCAATGACCAACTGAGAGTTACCATAGGATTTAGACTAGGTGTTCGCTTACACATTCACACATTTGCCACCTTTGCAACCTACCCGTTCAACTAAATGCAAAACACGGCCTAAACTACTCCCGGAGCCAAGGTCGCCACCTCCGGCATAAAGCTATAAATAAAATCATCCATAACGCTCTTAATAAGGCTAAAATACCTAACATCCTAGAACCAACAAACCTCTCTTTACAAGATGTTCTCAGACCTGACGGTTTAACCTGCACCCCATGGTTTAATGGGAAATCCCTAATTTAGGATGATACCTGCGTCTCTTCCTTTCCCTTATCAATTAATTCAAACCCTCTTACTAGCGGGGAAAATAAAAAAATTAATAAATATTCAATACTAAATAACTTTATTTTTCAACCCATAGTCATTTCAACTAATAGCAATTTCTCATAATCAACATTTTTTTTAAAAAATTTTAGTAAAATTTTTAACATTAAACGAAAAACGGGTATCAATTTTTCTTAAACAAAAACTCCAATTAGAAATTTTTAAACATAATCATACCTGTTTTTTAGTAACATTTTTACTATAAGCTCTTTTTAGAGCCATCGATATTTTTAAAATATACATTCGCTTTTAATATATATATATTCATTTTTTATTTTTATTATCTACTTATAAATTTATATATTCTATTGTTAATAAACTGGTTATTTTATTAAAAAAATATGTTTTTCATATTCATGGTTAAAATTTATAAATTATAATTATATAATTAAAAATAAAATTCTATAATTGAGTACCCAAAAAAGAACCATAATTGCGTCTAAAAATTTCAATTTGAATTTTTTGGCCAATATAAAGAAACTGGGTTCATTTGTAAAAAGCCGTATATTATTTTCCAGATTTTTTAAAAACTTAAATGTTTATGGTGAAAAATGCCCGTTCGTAGTGATCACTACTGGAGTGTGAAGTTTTTAAATTTATATATTTGTTGGTCTTTTTAATTTCTGCCTGTATTATTAGATTGATATTTATGTTTGAGGGGAATGACGAGACACATGTGTAATCCCATATAAGTGATTTACCGAGGGCCCAAGGTATGGTTGCCATACCATCAGGTCTTAAGCTGTCTACTTGAGATAAGTTTGTTGGTTCAAAATTGTTCGGAATGTGGGCAGCTGTTAGGCTTCTATTTACTACATGGTTTACTGCTGTGTGGGGCTAGTGTCGCCCTTGTAAATTGACCATTAAGGCAATGCCTACCCTTTGAATCGGCAGGTGATTTACATTTGATGAAAGCATTGTGCTGTACGATGTCACAATCTAGACGTAAACCAATGGTTACTCTCAGTTGTTCATCTGATAATAGATTACCAAGGTTACGACAAGGGAGTGATTCAAACCATTCATGACCAACAAGTCTGTCAGATAATTGAAGGATTTGAATGCAATCTAAAATGGATTGACTGATATATCTGTTTGCTATTTCGAGATTAAAGGTGTGAAAATTTTTTTGTGTGTGATGATTAATGGTAATACGGTGTTAATGGGTGTGTTTGCCTTCCATTTGTCAATAGCGTCGTCTAATAAACGATCGGTAG